CCTCCATGGGTCGATGACACTGAGGGGAGGAGGACCAGCACCTGCCCCAGAGCTTTGCTGGGACTGGACCCCAGCCAGGAACAAAACCTGCTGCCTCTGCACAGTTACTAATAATGGTGTTCTGGGGGCAGACGGAGCCCCCTGGGCACAAGCCAGGGGACGAGGCACTGCCAGCAGCCCTCCAGACCCTTCCCTGTGAGCCCCCTGAGTGGGGCTGGGTCTGGCCAAATGCTTCTCGGGTGCGTGCTGCCTTTTGGGGCGCTTGGCCCGTCCTGGAGGAGAGGCACGAGGCTGGCTCCAGCTCCTCGAGGGACAGCCCTGTTATTTTAGTGCCTAGAAACGTCCCGGTGGGGCATGGGGCTGATGGGGAAAGGCAGAGTCCCCTCCCCTCTCTCCCAGCCTCCAGCATCCTCCTCCGTGAGGCTGCACAGCCCCGCTGGGCTCAGCCACCTCCCGGCACTCAACTGGACCGAGGTGGCATCAGCACCAGCCCCTGGAGACCCTGTCCCCTCCCCTCCCCACGTCCCCTCTGTGTGAGCCATGTCCCCATCACCACCAGGCATTTCATTTTCATTTTTTTTTATTTTCTTCCCTTTTTTTTTCTTTTTTTTTTTTTTCTGTTGTTCTGTTTGTGCTTTGTGTTCCTGTCCGCCTCCCGTCCCACGTCCTGCTCAAAGACCATCGTGCGGGGCAGCAAAGCCGCCAAGGACGGCTCCCTGACCTGGCTGCTGGACGAGTTTGAGAACATGTCCGTGTCCCGTTCCAATTCTCTGCGCAGGGACAGCCCCCCCTTCCCGCCCCGCCGCGACCAGCTCTACCAGGAGAATGGCCTCTCCGAGGGCCCGGCCGCTGCCCGGCCGCACGAGGATGCCGGCAGGAGCAAGGAGAAGAGCCGTCATGGGGCCAGAAGCGAGCTAGAGCAGGGCAAGGAGAGACCCCGGGAGAGGGAGGACCAACGCGCCCACCACCACCAGCAGCCCCGTGGGCAGGAACCTGGCCCCAAACCCGCTCCCCCTGCCAGCGGCCGCCCGCCCCCTCCCGAGTACCCCAAAACCCCGGCCGAGCGAGACGGCTGGCGGGACTACCCTGCCGACAGGGACTACAGCGAGCCGGCAGACCGGGTGGTGCGGCGGGAGCGCCCCGAGCCCTCCGACAAGCGCCCCAAATCCACCTACGCCGGCGAGACCAGCCCACAATCCCCCCGGGACAAACGCCCGCTCTCCGGGCCCAATATCCGGACTCCCAACATCCCCATCTCTGAAGGGGTGATGAAGACGGCTCAGCAGACGGGACGGCCTTTTAATACCTACCCGCGGGCTGAGACCGACCCCGGCAGGGGCGCAGGTTCACAGGTAAAGGTTCCCACCCTGCTCCCCCCCGCTCCGACCAGATCCGCTTGGCAGCAACCTCTCCTTCCCTGGCTGTGCAGCCCAGGGGAGCTTTTCCTCGCTCTGCCTCTCCTCCGCCTCCTAGAAAAGCAGCCTCTCTCCTCTGCTTCCTAAGCAAGTGCCAGCTAACGGGCTCCTACACTCCAATTAAGACCGGTAGGACCGGCACATGCCGAAGACCACCGGCCCCACGGGCGCTCTGTGCTTTCCTTGTGGCACCGGCCCCATCCTTGTCTCCAAAGCAGCCTCTGGCTCCTCCGCTGTCTCCTCTTCCCTCTTCCTTGGTCCTTCCAAGCCTGTCTAGCACAAACCTTTCCTTCGGCAGCGCCCGGCCCCGCTATCACCTCTCCACTCGCTTGGTTGGAGGCTGCAGGGTCGGTGCCCAGCATTTTGGGGACAGCGGCAAAATCCTAGCTCCAGCCGTGTGCTACCCTGGGCTTTTGGTGGCTGACGTCCCTCTCCTCCCATCTCTTTGCAGGCAGAGCACCGGCCCGGACGACCGCAAGAGGTGGCATCCAATGGGCCGGTGAGCGGTGGTGCCGGCTCCTCCCGAGCCCACCCCCCTGGCCCGCCACGCTCCAAAAACCCTGAGCCATCCCATCCCGGCCTCACCCCGCACGCCTCGGATCCCCACCTTGCTCGCCAGCCACCCACCGGCCCCCCGCCACCCCCGGCAGGGCCGCAGCAGCCCCGCTCGCCCCAACGTGAACCCCAGCGCGTCTCCCATGAGCAATTTCGGGCAGCCCTGCAGATGGTGGTGGATCCCGGAGACCCCCGCACCTACCTGGACAACTTCATCAAGATCGGTGAGGGCTCCACCGGCATCGTCTGCATTGCCACCGTCAAGAGCACCGGCAAGCTGGTGGCCGTGAAGAAGATGGACCTGCGCAAGCAGCAGCGGCGTGAGCTGCTCTTTAACGAGGTGAGGCAGAGCAGGGACCCCCTCAGGGACCCGCTTTTGGGTGTTGCGCGCTGTCGGTGGGCTCAATCGCAGTCTCCACTCGGCAGGTGGTGATCATGCGGGACTACCAGCACGAGAACGTGGTGGAGATGTACAACAGCTACCTGGTGGGCGACGAGCTCTGGGTGGTGATGGAGTTCCTGGAGGGCGGCGCCTTGACCGACATCGTCACGCACACCAGGTACGTCCTGGGGACCCCCACGTTTGTCCCCCCTTCACCGGCTTGGCACTGGGGTCTGCCCCCTGGCATGCTTGGCTCTCGCCTCCCACCCTCTCTGTCGGCTCGTAGGATGAATGAGGAGCAGATCGCGGCCGTCTGCTTGGCCGTCCTGAAGGCCCTCTCCGTCCTCCACGCGCAGGGCGTCATCCACCGCGACATCAAGAGTGACTCCATCCTCCTCACGCACGATGGCAGGGTAAGTGCCGTGGTGGGGTACAGCGGTGGCAGGTACAGAGCCTCCCGGCCAGCCAAAACACGGTGGCAGCCCTTCTCACCGGTCCCCTTCCCCGGCTTTTTAGGTGAAACTCTCTGATTTCGGGTTTTGTGCCCAAGTGAACAAGGAGGTGCCGCGACGGAAGTCGCTGGTGGGGACCCCGTACTGGATGGCACCGGAGCTCATCTCCCGACTGCCCTACGGCCCGGAGGTGAGCGTGCCGCAGGTTTGGGGTATGCGGGGCGGGTTTGGGGGCGCAGGGTGGCCTCACCCCTGAATTAACCCCTGGCTTTACCATGTCCCCCCCACCCCACAGGTTGATATCTGGTCCCTGGGCGTGATGGTTATTGAGATGGTCGACGGGGAGCCGCCCTATTTTAATGAGCCGCCATTAAAGGCCATGAAGATGATCCGAGACAATCTGCCCCCCAAGCTTAAAAACGTGCACAAGGGAAAGGGGGGGGGGGGCGACAGGCCATCCTGGGGAGGGGGAAAACCCTCCAGGGGCTCCCTGAGGTCCCCTGGGATGTGTCCACCCACCCCGGGATGTTGCTGACAGCCGCCCCACTCCCTCCCCACAGGTTTCACCCTCCCTCAAAGGCTTCCTCGACCGCATGCTGGTGCGGGACCCGGTGCAGCGGGCCACCGCCAACGAACTCTTGAAGCACCCCTTCCTGGGCAAAGCGGGGCCCCCCTCCTGCATCGTCCCCCTCATGCGCCAAAACCGCATGCGGTGAGGAGCCGGCAGTGCTGGTGGCCACCCCGGCACCCTCCTGGCCCTCACCGTTGCCTCGTAACTGGATTCGTGACTGTGCCACTACTGTTGGGGCGCTGGCGGGGTCATGGACCCCCCTGCACCGTACTACTGAGCCGGGGAGCAGCCAGGGAGGGGGGACGGCTCGGTTTTGATGACTTCACCGACGCTCCGCGCAGGGCCAGCGGCGAGGCCACGCGGTGACACTGTCCCAGTGTGTCCCCCCCCCTGCTTTCTGGCAGAGATTTGGGCTGGGGGCTTATCCCACCCTGGACCCGGTGTCGCCCCCATCCTGGGGAGCAGTTTGGGACATCTCCCCCCTTACTTTTTCCTTTAAATTCCCTTTTTTAATCCCTATCCGGCCCCAGGGTTGGGCCACCACCTGCATCTCCGGGGTGGGGGGGGAACAACACATGTCCCCAACACTACGGCCCCGCGGCCACACTACTGATTTGGGGTCCTTACCACCCCCCCACCCCTTCCAAACATGTTTTTGTTCTTTTGGGGTTTTTTGTTCTTTTTTTTTTGTTCCCCTCCCGTTTTGTTATTTTACAAAGCTATTTATATTGTCGTTTTGTAATGCCGCAGTATGGGGTGGCCCCAGGGCCGGCATGGGGACCCCTGGAGATTACACGTGTCCTTTTGGAGACAGCTGTGTCCCATGTGGTTTCTTTGGGGGGGGGGCAGCCTGTGCATGCAGACACAGGTAGTAGTGTGTGCATGTAGGGTCACACATGTGCATGCCCACGTACATGTGTGATGTGTGTGCACGTGAGGAACGTGTGCACATCTGCCCACACATGTGACCCACCCAGGGCTGAGTGTGTGGGAACCCCCCCGGTACCCCTCCCCAGGTCCTGGCTTGGGGGAGGAGGGGGGTCACAGGGTGATGGTCATGGGGACCCCACTTCTCCCTGCCCAAAGATACCTGGGAGGCCACTGCCTGCCACCCCACTTCCACCCCAATAAAGCACCCGTGAGGCAGGAGCTGCTGCAGCCTCCAGGCTTTATTGGCTGCACTTGGAGCTGTGTGAGGCTGGGGAGGGGGGCGGAGGCGGGGGTGGCACTGCCACATCAACACGTGTCAGCCCACATCTGTCAGCCTTGACCCATGTGGACTCACGGCGACCTGTGTGGACTCACATTGACTTGTCTTGGCCCGCGTTGACTCAATTTGACTTGTGTTGGCTTGTCTTGGCCCATGTTGGCTTGTCTTGGCCCCTGTTGACTCACGTTGACTTTTCTTGGGCCACGTTGACTCACGTTGACTCGTCTTGGCCGAGGTTGACTTGTGTTGGACGTCGTTGACTCGTATTGGCTAATGTTGACTTGTATTGGCCCACGTTGACTCGGGTTGATTTATGTTGACTTGTCTTGGCCTGTGTTGACTCGCATTGGCCTGCGTTGACTCGTGCTGACTCATGTTGACTGGTGTTGACCCGCACCGCCCTGTGCCACCTGCCTCACCGGCACTGGCAGTAGAAGCCCCTGATGGCGTTGTTCCAGTCACTGAAGAGCCCCCGCCGCACCTCCTGCAACCGCGGCACCGCGCTGGCCGCAAACTTCCGAGTCTTCCCCTTCTTGCCGGCCCGAGACCAGACGGTCAGCTCGCAGCGGGTGCCCACCACCAAGGAAGAGACGGTGGCGACCCAGCCGTGGGGCATGTAGGGGACGTCGGAGCCGGGGTACACCACGAGGGTGGACCCCCCGCAGCACTGGTCATAGTAGGCGCTGTCGTCAGTGTAGAGCTCTGCGCAGATGCGGGTGCCGTTGGCTGTCCGCAGGTCGGAGGGGTTCGGGCACTGCGCCTCAGCCCCCGCCAGCACCGCCGCCGCCA